AACCTAATATTGATTTCAGTTAAATAGATAAGTCACAGAGAGAAAATCTATCACTAGATGCCATAAAATCGAAGAAGTGAAGAAAACTGATGTTTATAAATTACATTTGCTTAAGCCAATGTTTCTCTTTTTGTTGCATGAAAAAGCCATTTTTATGGACTTGTATTTGCATTGCTTTGTAAATAACTTCAAGGAAGCATTGCTACTGATGTCTTTCTAAAATACAGCTTTTACCAAAAGCAGTACTAAGAAGACTGAAGATACCATCACAGACATTGAGACTGATTGTTTGAAATGGCAGTCTGGGGGTTCTGGGAATTATAGTCCAAAATAAGTTACTTTCCCCCATCTCTAGAACTGATCCTGTGAGCTAAATCCTGTTGCATAGCTTTATGCCTGGCACAGCTCAGATCGGACACTGGAAATGTTTATCTTACACCTGCAGAGGGTAGTAGTGGCTGAGAGTCTAAATTTTACCAGGAAATGGTCCGACCATGACAACGGAGTTTTGGAAGTTTTGGAAGTTTTGGAAGTTTTGGGATGAGGAGAAGCCTTTAAAAGTAAAGAAATTGCTGCCAGGGGTGGTTATTGGTGGCCCTATTAAGTGGTAGGGATCCAGCAGCACGTTTTGGCTTTTTAAGGCTCCTTTCTACCCTCATCCAAAGGCTCGTAAAGGTTTAGCTGGGGCAAAAGGGATCCTAGGAGAGAATTAGAACCTAAAACAAGAGGATGGGAACTTTATTTATTTAAAATATTTTTACCTTTCCTTTCTCCTTGAAAAGGATCCAAGGCAGCTTACAGCATAGAAAGGCAATATTTAAAGTTTTAAACAATGATTATACAATGGTGGTTAACATAATTAAAATATAATATTTTAAGCTAAGAACAATGAGTATGAAGAGGCATCTTACATCATTAAAAGGCGATATTAAAGCTAGGAACAATATTTAAAAAGAGAAAAAATGTCACTCTTGAGAAATAGAAAACGCAGTAACAATCCGTCTGAAAATCACACACAGGTAGCTAGTTATTGAGGGAAGGCTTTTAATTACTTAAACTTTGCACCTGGAGTTGCTGCTCCAGGTGCAAAGTTGTACAACAGGCGGTTGCAGTACCTTAAATGAATAGACAAGAATATTATTCTGGATTTACACAGTTGTAAGTGCAATAGCATAAATTGCAGCGAACCACTGCTAATTAATGAGTTGGTACTCATGTGACTGGGAATGCACATGGTACCTGTTAAATTAATGACAGTTCATCACCATGATTATGTTGAGTAAGTGTAAATCTACATTAGGATTCTGACCATGGTTTTGTGTAACAGATGCACACCCACACACCCCTCAAATATCAGTTTTGCAGGAAATTAGAACTGGGATAGTAGCAAAAAGGGCTATTATGCCATTATTTTGATTAAGATTTTGCCATTCCGACCCTCCCCCTCTTAAAGCTGCTATTTTTGTTAGGAGGGAAGCTATAAAGTGTGAGAAAGGAAGAATTAGACTGGCAGAGTTGGAGTGAAGACTGATAAAGTGTGTTCACAGATAAATAAAGGCATAATAGTATCTTTGGCAAGACCATGGAAAATGTAAAAGTAAGGGTAGGGAATTCTACCTAGTATGTATCCTTAAAAAAGAAGTGGAAAATATGAAATTCATAAAAACCTTAAGAGTGAGGTTTATACTCCTGTTGCCAACCCATAATGCAAAGATGTGAAACTTATTTCAGCCTGACAGAGTTAGTCTTCAACTAAGTTATTGGGTGCAGCATTCCAACAGTGAATGTGGTGAAACACCGGTGGGTAAGACTGAAAATACTAGTGAATGTTAACTTAAAGTTCCCACTGCCAAGGACTGAGGTTTAAGAGAAGTATTCCAGCATTTTAGAATGGGGGAAGTTGTATTGAAAAGCTGGGAACCCGCCCAATGATGGTGTCATGAGGAAGGGTATGACCATCTGGGGAAGCCTAGAAGGTCAGATTACTGTATTTTTCCATGTATAAAATGATACTTTTCCCTAAAATAATTAAAGGAAAAATTGAGAGTTGTTTTATACTCGGAAGAAGGGGGGGAGGGATCAAAATGTTTTGATCCCTCTTTCCCCCTCCATGTTTTGCAAAGAAAATGCAGGGGGAAAGCGATTCCTACTTTCCCCTTACATTTTCATTGCAAAATGTTTGCAACAATAATGCAGGGAGAAAGCGATTCCTACTTTCCCACTACATTTTCATTGCAAAATGTTTGCAACAGTAATGTAGGGGGAAAGCAGAAATCGCTTTCCCTTTACATTTTCTTTGCAAAACCTGGAGGGGGAAAGCTGCTTTTTGCAACGAAAATATAGAGAGAAAGCAGGAGCTTTATTTTGATTTCTAAATCAAAATAAAGAAATTCTGATTTAGAAAAGTGGGGGGCGTTTTATACACAGAAAAATACAACAAGTCCCATATCTTGAGATTTACCACCATTATCCTGTATTGTTCAGATTCCTTCTCCCCAGTGCTGTATACTTACAGTTGTATTATAAATTGCCAATATGGTTTGTTGAGATTTGCTCAAAAGTAAATATATATTGGTAAGTGTTATTTCAACAATGCTTCCTGCTTGTCTACAGTATTTGTATAGTTAGTGGTACTATATTTACCGGCGTATAAGATGACTGGGTGTATAAGACGACCCCCCCAACATTTCCACTCAAGATATAGAGTTTGTTATATACAGTACTCGCCGTATAAGACTACACCCTCTTCCGCACACCTTCCACACACCAAATAAAAGGTGCTATTCATTGTCACCATTGTACGGTTGCAGCGCCACCAGCCCGCCCCTGCATCTCCCTGTGACCGGCACTAGTACGCAAGTGCGCATGTATGAGCTCTGCGTAGAGAAGGGGCGGGCCGGAGCGCTGCTGCTTCCTGCCGAGCAGAACGGGCCGGTCACATCGAAAAGGCTGGCACCCCTGTCTCGCTGCTGATGCTCACCGCGGCCACACTGGATACTGCGCGATACTGGACAGTATGTAGAATGAGGTGGGCAGGCATCGGGAGGCCACTATGGGCAGCTATGTCTATCCCAACTGAAGTGCACCCGGCGTATAAGATGACCCCCCGCACTTGGAGGCATGTTTTTCAGGGGGAAAAAATAGTCTTATATGCCAGCAAATGCAGTAGTTATGATTAGTTCTGCATGTTGACCATGTATTTGTGACTGATTTATTAATACATATGCATAAGTAAAGTGAAATGTTCAATAAAACAGTTGTCTTCTGCTTCTTTAAGAATTTATGGCCTACCTGTGCTTATATTTTAATCTCATAAACTCAGTTTCAGTGGAATTCTTTTTCCCAGTCTCTGCTCACTGAATATATTCTCGTATGTTCCTTATAAAGTTGTTTTGGGTCCCTGGTAATTGACTGCCAGACCATCCAGATAAGAATATGAGGAGCTGCTACAGAATGTCAAGAGGTAGCAAATCCATGCTGAATGACCTTAAGCCAGGATAGAAGTGCACTCATCTACAAGTGCCCTCAATCAAAATGTAATTTGTTTGGCTTACTTGTTCTTCTCCTTAGCTCTTAACCTCCTGCTTGGCCATATCTCAGCACGTTGACTCAAAGAAGGAGGTGGCAGTACATCTGTGCATGTACTGCTAACATGGGTGTAGGTTTAAACCTGGAATGCTCTAGCTCATTACTGTCAGACCACCCAGGGTAGATATTGAGACTGAAATGAACAAGCAGACAAGAAAAACAAGTTCAGCTATTTGATGCACATTCTATATAAAGGCAAAGTGGTCTAAGGGTAAATGTAGGCAAAAATAACGTGTACCCATTTCCTGCACAAAAGGGAGAAGAATAGTTTGTAGGAGAGGTGTGCAGAAGTTGTTCTTTTTTTGGCAGGATCAAGTGAAGAAGACAGCAGATTTCTTAGGTCTAAACATTAAATTCTCAAAGTGTGTCCATTACCAAAAGAAACAATAATTATTGTCTCTGTATCAGTTTCGATATGCAAGGAGCTTTACAAATTAACAGGAAGAAGGTGTGCTTCTGCCACAAAGAACTAAACTAGGATTTAATGATGGACTGCCAATGGATCTTCTTGCATCCTCCAGAAATAATGAGCTACCTACCACTTGCAGCTCCCCACACAGATTAAAAGCCTACTTCGCACTCTGAGGATCTCTCTGGAGCAGGTTTTTCGTTTCATGGAAAGGTGTGGAGGGAGGGAGAGAAAAAAAAGCTTTGATTTTGTTAGTGTGGCATACAGAAGCACATACAGTGGGGTCTCGACTTACGAACTTAATCCGTATTGGAAGGCAGTTCTCAGGTCGAAAAGTTTGTAAGTCGAATCTTCATTTCCCATAGGAATGCATTGAAAACCATTTAATCCGTATCTGCTCTTTTCGTCCATAGAAACTAATGGGAAGCTGCTATTCTGCCTTCTGCCACTAGAGGGGGATATTTTTTTCTTTTTTCCTTTTAACCTAAGATGACTTTTAAAAAAGGAAAAAAAGAGTTCGTAACTCGAATCTAAGTTCGCAAGTCGAGTCCATATATTCCTATGA